ATTTCCATTTTCCAAGCAATGAAGCCGCCGCATCATCTCCTTCTTCTCCCCTCCGCGGTCATGGGCTCTGGTTTTCTGTCAAGCTCAATACCCCATCTCCGCCGTCCGTACTCCTCCCTGATGGACGCAACTTCCGATTTGCACTTCTGGGCTCCGATTCTCTCAGCATCGACATCGATGACGGGTGCAAATAGAATCCCTTTATGCAATCACACAGTCTTTCTGCCAAAAGAAGCTACGACGGATCCGAAGAAAAATAAAACAGATCTGGTTTCATAGTTGATGTCGCCGCTTCACCTCGTCACCATCATCTCTCTGTATCCTCTTTTGGGAGTCTCTGCTACCGTCGCGCGGGTGGAATCCCACGCCAAAATCGACGAGAGGGGAGAACAGGTTCGTTCAAGTGAGCCCAAAAATCAATGGGCGGATGGAATCCCACCCCAAAATCAACTGATGTTGGTGCATTTGTCGGATTCAAGGAAACCCTTCCCAGATCGATGGCGATGACCATCCTCCTCAAATCCCTATGAACTCCCACCGGCCACCAACGACCCTCGCCCTTCTCTCCTACGATTCAACAAAGGGTTTGACTTCCCAGAAGCCAGAGTAGCAGCCTCCACCTCCAATCGATGGCGCCGCCTCCATATCCTCGAAACCCCTTCAGCTTGCTACGTTCGTGTCGGCTGTGTTGGGGAAGAAAGGAAGGAGCGATGATGCCGCCGAGCTACTGGCTCGTCGGAGGGGAGAAGATTGTGGCATTTTTTAGTTGTTGGGGAGAAGATTGCGGGGTTTCGGGGAGATTCGGGAGAAGATTGCAGCAGGAAGTAATGGAGGGGGATTCGGGGAGATTAGGTCGGATTTTTGTTTTATTTTATATTTTAATTATTTCCTTTTTCTTATTTTATTAATATTATATGGAAAAAAATTAATATTAAAAATTCCACGTCAGATGCCACATCAGTGCTGACTGGATTTTCTGTTAAAAACTAACGGTCAACAAAAGTCAACACTAACGGAATCATAGTTCAGGACACAGATGGAATATTGAAAACAATAGGACACAAGTGGCATTTTTGCGATAGTTCGGGTGTTGTAGTGGTATTAGCCCTTATTATTTAGGCTAAATATTTTCACATACAAGATATTAGTTAAATGTTAACTTTCCATTACTAGTTTTCTTAGTAATATTAACTTGGCAATATGATACTAATTTTTTGAAAGAGATAAGTGACAGTCAATATTCAAAAAATTTAGGATTTTAACTAAGGAGCCACAAAATTATCGGTAACAAAAAAATGGCTAAAATTTTTATGCGTTGCAAAAGATTTGCCTAATAAAATGATTTACCCATCATACAATATATTTAGACTTGGCAAATTACAACCCGACCCGTTGACCCGACTCGAACCCGCTCGAAAAGTGGTCTCTTCTCCTTTGTGTAATCCCACTACTTAGCCTGGAGTAGTCCGTTATTTAACTTGGGGGTTTGTAAACCCTAGCTAGAATTACGTGAATGCTTGTATGGATTGAATGATTTGTGTGTGGTTCTGTTTTACTACAAGTATTGAGGTATTTTCATGAAGGTTGTGTTGTGTTTTTGAATTTCCAACTCTTATGCCAATTTGACCTAGGTAGAGGGAAATCCCCTTCTTGCTAAGAGGCTTGTAAAAGCTAGAATTCCTGGGCCAAATTGTGTCACCTGCTCAGGTTGAATTAAGGCAAACCTCATACTAAGTATTGGCACCTTGGGTAGGTTGTATTTTGGCTGTATGGACTACGGTTCGAGGGAAAAGTCCAAGCAACCCTTAGTCGATTGGCCAAGAGAGATATCTTGGTAGCTTGATTCGAAATCCCTTGGCCTAGTGACCGAGAGAGTGAAGCTTTTTCACTTGTTGCGCTTCCCTACGGTTTAGAACCGCTTTTACCACACATTTGCATTCGTCCAACAAATCCTGATTACTAGCTAGGGAGAGCAACACCGGGGTGAAGCCTTCTCAATTAGTATTCAAAACCATCTAATTTTCCAATTGCTTTCAATTTTAGTTCATAGTTTCAACCAAAAATCGATTGCTTGATAATGTTTCAAAAAATTGAAGTAGTGGTACATGGACCGACCTGAGTTTGACTTATAAAACCTATGTGCCCTATATTGCACCCGGTTAAGGTTTATACTTGTGCCTTAGTCGGGATTTTAATTATGATATTCAGGACGAGTCAGGTCCATCAGTTATCTTCTTGATCCATATTGATCTTGAGTGATTTTAAACCTTGAAAATCACAAAACAACACCATAAAGGCATCAAATAGTACATAAACACACTCAAGATCTATCTTAAGCACATTATACAAATAGTTATGAATTTCATATGAAATTTAGCCAAAATGACTAAAGATGCATTGATAGAAGGAGAAAAGTATCAAATATGAGAGTGATAAACGCTATAAATTGAGTGTCATCAGTCACCCCTCTGGATGACACACGATCGTGTTTTCCATTCTCATGCCCGTGTTTCCACTAGGCAATAGAAACACGGTATGTCTTATGTATGAAACACAACCATGTTTTGTGGATTCCTTGGTTGTGTTTCCACTTGTGACCAATAACACAATATGTCCTCCTAATTTCACAAAAGAAAACGCAATATAAAAGGAAGACAAAAATAAAAACTTGGGATGCAAATGGCCCGAGTTGAGTTAAGTTTTGACCTAACTGTAGTTCGGCCCGTTAATAGATGAGTCGAGCTCGAGCTTGGCTTCTTTACAAAAACTTTGGCTTGGTTCTTACTCGAGTTCAACTCGAGCTTGACTCATTAATAAGCTTATTAGCTCTACTCGAGTTCGCATCATCAATTAGCTCACAAGATAGGCTCGAGTTTATGCATCATATCATTTAGTTCCTATCATGTTATATAATAGTAATTAGTATCTAAGTAAGTTATGATACATAATTTCTTTTTTAAATTATAAATGAGATATATTCAAAAAGGTGCTCAATTTGTTAAATATCATAGGTGTGGTGAGATATATAATCTAACAAACCTATTGGTTAGGCTTCGGTCCCCCCCCCCCCCACTTTTCTCGAAGCTGCTGCGATTGCCCGAAACTCACTCGCACGATAAGTGGAAACTTCTAGGAAAAAATTCGACATTCGTACTAAAATAGGATAGAGTCCCCCTTCTTATGGGTTCCCCCACCGACCCAGTAATACCCCAATCGCGCACCTTTCTTTTCTCCAATCATAAAGTCCCCATATCTCTTTCTTTGTCTTTCCTCCCCCCCTGAACTGAATAAGTAAGAGCCTGTTCTTTCTTATTAAAAAATGGGATTAGTCATCTCCCTTTTGAAGTGTCGAAGGCCTATGCTAAAGTAAGTAAGAAAGTATGTTAAGGTTACGAACTACACCCATACTATCGTCACTTGAGGTTGTGTATATTGCTCGTCAGATGCCTGAGTAACGGAGGTGTGCGAAGGTAGGCTCAAGCTAAGATTTCGTCGCATAGCATAATGATATAAGCATGCCTGACTGTGAGACTGAATAGTCGAACAGAGACGAAAGTCGAGCATAGTGTCCTGGAAGTCCCGTGTGTAAGGGCTCTCGCTCAATGGATCTAAGGTACGCCGGGGATAACAGGCTGATGACTCCTAAGAGCTCTTATCGACAAAGTCATTTGGCACCTCGAGACAGCTCATAGACAAAATGGGAGCTAACGAGTTGAGCTCTACTAGCCACCGAATCGAGCTATCTCATAAGTCTTACAAACCGAACAACGCTTATCACAAGCTGAAATCGTTAATAAACAAGTCGAATGTCAAACGAATTTTCTCCAAATCGAACACTGAGGCTCTCATGACATGAGCAGTTTGAATGCTTTGCCCTGGCGACTGACGAAAGGTGGGATTCAGTCCCTAGCGACAGATGCGCGAATTGCACTGGTCATTGCGCGAAATGTCCTCTAAGCCAGTCAGTCAATGGAGGGAGCGAAGAACCTTACCAGGGCTTGACATGCCGCGAATCCTCTTGAAAGAGAGGGGTGCCTTCGGGAACGCGGACTATTGTTTGTTGTACTCTTTCTGAAGTGTGGGGCGAACGGCGCAATTTATTTTGTTCAAAACTGGCATTTGAAGAGATTTCCAAGCAAGACCTCAAAGTGCAAGGTTTTCGCCGAATAAATGAGTTTGCTTGGCTTTTGATGAGCCTCCTCTGGGGTAGGAAATGGCAACCCTAATAAAAACAAAACAAAAAAAAAAACCAAAATGAAAAACTGTGGAGGAACCAGAAAATACCTAACCTTCCTCCACAAATCTCATCACTTTTAGAAGCAAATAACTTTAGTGGTTAGTATGGCCATTTGCACCCAACTGCCCTTCATCTCTCTATGTAGGCCATTCATTGTCCCCCAACACTTGAATTTTCTCCCAAACTAAACAACAAAAACCCACTCAAAATATGGAAGTAATGAATGATTGCTTCTCTGCACTCAAAACCCTAAAATAAGCTAATTGAACCCAGAAAGAGACTCCCCCTACTCGATTAGTTGTTGTAGCTGCTGCTGCCCATAATGATAGCCCTATTAGGTTATTTGGATCACATAACTCGAGGCTTATTGTCATAACCATTCATTTAGATAGGAATATTAACGAAAAAAAGTTATACACAATTAATTACCCATTTTACAAAGCCCAAATTTCCTTACCCTCTAAAGCCACCAGCTCAAGCAAAAAATAAGAGGAAATGAAGAAACATCCCAGAAACAGAGAGAGAGACGTGGGATGGGAGGAAAATAAGAAAGGGACAATAATATAATACTATAAGCTAATATAATTTCGACTATAATATACTTAATAATTAATGCTTTTCAAGAAAGGAGCCCTCAAATAATCTCATCGTTGCGCCACCGCCCTCCGGCGCATTTAGCTACCGCCGCCCTGTTGAAGACAGAGGAGATAAACAAAGGAGGAAGAAAAAGGCCAATTTGCCCTCTTTTTCGCCGGTTTCAGCCTTAAACCCTATCCCACTCAACATCGGAATCTTCTGGGTCGGGCAGCTTGTTCAAGTCAACCCGCTCCATGAACGACTTTCGCTCCGCCGTATCGATTTCCGATTTGACGATACTCTCTTTGCCTCGATTCAGTTGGTGCCCGAGGTGGTTGTGATGGCGGCGGTGGTGATCCATCGACGTCTCGAGAGCGTCGACTCTTGCCCCGACCTCCATTGCTTTCTTCCGAATCGTAGCCGCCGACAAGTCGCCGCCTCCTGCAGCGGCGGTGACCCGCTCCTCTCCCGCCAAAATCTCGGGGAAGTTCAGCTTCACGGTCGGCCCCCTGAGGTAGAAAACCATCGTGTCGTAGGCCCTAGCCGCCGCTATTGGAGTTGTGTTGACACCTAAAATTAATGTGGCCTGAATTAAATGCCGCATTAATTAGTCTCGGCATTTAATTCGATACCGCGGGTAAAAAACGGTGTCGTTTGGAGTCGAGCGGTGTCGAGGAGAGTTAAAACGATACCGCGAAACAACGGTACCGCAAGGAGGCTCAACGGTACCGCGGTACTGGAAACGATAATAAAAAGGGCCGCGCGTGCGGGTTCTTGTTGGAGAAGGAGTTTTGTTCATAATTAATTAATATTTTTATTATTCCTTGTTGGAGGAGGAAAATCGGTACCGCACGGAGACAAGCGGTACCGCAGAGCTAAAACGGTGCCGCGGAATTAAAAACGGTACCGCGAGGAAGCCCAACGGTACCGCTATACTAGCAAACGACCGTGTTTAATAATAAACAGTGTCGCGGAAGAAAAAAAAACAAACGGAGTTGGTTGAGAAAGAAAACGACACCGCAAGGTTGGAAGCGGAGTCGTTTAATATTAAAACGATGTCGCGGGTAGAATCAAGCGGAGCTGCTTGGGAAAGGAAACGACATCGCGGGATCATGAAAGCAACTCACGTAAAGTTCACGCGAAGCAGTTTGAGGAGCGAAGCGGTTGAGATACGTGGGATTTCACAACGGAGCAGTTGAGGAAGCGGTTCCACCGAGCGTGAAGGCTACGAAGCAGTTTCTCGAATAAAAGCAGTGGAGCAAGGAGAGAGAAAGGACAACAACCAAAATCAACACAGAACAACTCTGTCAAACTTATCTTTTTCTCTGTAACTCCTTCGCGGAGCTCTCCTTCCAGGAAGGATCTCCATAGTCATAGTCGTAGCGTAGTCGCGGAGCTCTCCACAGGAATCTCCATAGGAGTAGTCGTAACGTAGATTCCTCAAAAACTCAAACACCCTCGTTCGAACGTAGTTTGGAGAGGTGTGAATCGTAGTCACAGTCGTCTTGATTAGAAGTCAGTGGCGCATTAATTCGATCAAATCAACATCGTCGTTTGGCACGCCGGCGGTGGTATTTGGTCAGAAAATAGTGGTGCATCCGTTCAATCGGCACCGCAAGAGTTTCCACCGCGAAACATCAAATCAACATCGCCGGGAACGAATTCGGCACCGGCGGTGGCATTTGGTTTTTCCGAGGAAACATTTTGGCACACCCGGTGGGACACGTGTGTTTGAAGTGAAATATGGCTCCGCGGCATGGAAAACACACGTTGATCTTCCACAAGAATCTGTGAAGGTGGAGCGTGTGGTCGGCATTGAAGTTGACCGAGCAGAGGAGGCAAATAGACATATCGGTTGGATGAAGGAGTGGCCCCAATCCATGTCGAGCATCGATGGGCATGTTGCACTCCTGTCTCTTCGTCGATCTATAGAGGAGTATTACCGGCAGGTAAATCTCTATTTTATCTCTTTAAATAAGCCTTGTGATTCTCTTGGAAGACATATGGATAAATTTTTTGAGATGATAGATGAACATGTTTCCGGTATTGCCAATAAGGATTCACTTAAACTTGTGGCTAAAACAGTGGCGTTAGGGGCCAACAAATCTCATGTTGGTTCTCCTGTGAACACTATTGTTTTGAAGGACAGGAAAGTTAGAGCGGTCTTGCGAAAGCCACAACAAAGAACAAAATTTAAACGTGTTCATAATAAGTTTCAGAAAATTAAGAATAACAAGTGTGATATCTTGAAAGATGACAAATTTTACCACATTCTTCAATCTAAGCCGCTAGGGGGGCATGCCATCCCAGCTCGTGGTAGATTGAAGGAGAAACAACATCGTGGATGGCAAAGAAGTTGGCCACACCCACCCTGCTCTAGGAAAAATCAAACAATGGTTTCCTCAAATACTCTTCGGTGTGGGGATGGTAACCACGTAGAAAAATCTAATGCCAACAAAGTTGGCATGACTCAACAGGATCGTTCACGTAAATCATCCCTGAAGTTTTTATTGAGTGGACAGGGGGGCAAGTTCGGTCAAGCACGACAGGGAGTTGCAACACCAGTGCTTATGAGGAACAAGTCTGCCATGAGTGGAGGATTGGGGGACAAGTACCATGGCCAACAAACTCCAGTCTCACGTAAGAGTTCAAAAGATGCAAAGTTTTTGTATGATAAGTGCAAAGATCATGGCCGTGGTAAACAAAATACCAACACACGTGTTGAGGGAGCTTGTAAGTCTCGGTGCTCAAACTCCTCACAACATTGTGAGAGGGTACAACTGACAAAACCGGGCCAGTCTGAGCAGGCAATGCGGCATGGTCGACTTGGCAAGACGAAGATGCCAAAAAATGTCAATGTCTTGCCGAGAGCAAAGAACACTAGTGATTTTTCATGCCATCGACCAAAAGTGATGGCTGAGGTGAAGCCTAATCGAGCTCGTGGGATTTCGAACAAAGATGTTCGAGCTAGACGAGCTGAAAAGTTGAATTCCAGCACCGACTTCAAACCTTCTCAGTTGTGTGTGAAACCACCTGTGATGAGTCATGGTGTTCAAGGATGGCTTGTTTGGTTTGATCCGTGGAGTTGGCAGTGGGTGTGTACTTTTGGTAGGATGGTTTATGCCAAACCCTACCCTGTTTTGTGTAACTACTATTAAAATAAATATTGTGGCCAATTTAGACCACGTGGTACATATATATATATTAAAAGGTAAAAAAAAAAATCAGCAACGCCGTTTTGCTGAACCAGCCCTGCGGCAATTTGCTTGCGGGATTGGTGCGAATCACGAACAGGCCTGATATATAAAAAAAAATTAAGTTCTGCCGCAACAGCTCTGGCAGAAGAAATAAAAAAAAAATTTGAATGCAGCTCTGCCGCTGGTTCCAAACAGCTCTGGCGGAGAATAATATAAAAAAAAAATTTGCAGGGCTGGTGCTAGCAGCGCTGCTAAAAATAAAATAATATAAAAAAAAAGAAGAAAACAACTTTTTCTCAGTTCCGGCCAAAGCAGCCCTGAAAAAGAAAAAAAAAGAGAGAAAAAAAGGCAGAGGGGTGGCGGCAACTCAGCCTTGATATATATAAAAAAAAAAAATTAGGGCCGCTAACAGCCTTGATTGAAAAGAAAATAAAAAATATATATATAATACTAGTCATGCAGCGCTCGCCGCTGCTTCCACAGCCGAAAAAAAAATGTTTGCAGTTTTGCCGCTGTTGCAAACAGCTCTGGTGGAAGTTTTTAAAAAAAAAGATTATATAATAATAGGGCCGCCAACAGCCCTGATTAAAAGGAAAAGGCGGACTCCCAACGCTGCGGCTGTTTCCAACAGCCCTGGAGGGGAAGAAAAAAAAGGGAATTTCGGCCACAACCGCGCCGATGAGAGAGAGAAAAATCGAAGCCGTTTGGAAGGAAAACAGCGTTGTCGGGACCGAGCTCTCCTTGTTTGAGAAGGAAAGGGAGTTTGGCCAAAGCAGAGGTGTTGCAGCGTACTTTTATTTTATATCGAAGTTGGGTTGGATTTGTTTATAAGCTGACCACGCAAAGCTGCTAAAAAACACTCCTACCTTGTTGGCCGCATAATTGATTGGCTTGGAAAAATTGATCTTTGTAAAAGATTATAATTAATATTTTATTGGCCATCACCCAACCACAAACAGGTTTGTTTGGACGCAGCAACTTTGCAAATTTAAACAAAAAAAAATGTACAAGTGCAAAAGGAAAAGGAAGCTGCGTTGCACTTGTCGTGGCTGCAGCGTCACAAGAGGATTAAAGAAAAATCCTCAAAAGAGAGAAGCTGGCCAATTAAACAATGTTGGAGTTTGGCTGAAGCAATGGTGCGGCCACGGGATTGGTTCGGTGCGGGAAGGAAAGTAAACGAGGCTGCAGCCTTGTGCGTCCTCTATGTCACGTAAGAAGTAAAATAAAAAATCGAAATACTAGTATTTTTTCGGAGAACAATGGCGTTGGCCGCACAACTGCGTAGCAAATCCTTTTGGCTTAAATTAATTTTTAATTATAGCTAAAAGGAATATATTCGGCCAAGTTGATTCAACGAGTTTGGACCAAAACAACATATTTGGCCACAGCTTTGCAAGAGGAAAACAACATTACGACCCCGTTTCAAGTTTGAGAAGGAGTGTGTAAGGCCAGCACTGTTGGTAAGTGAATTCTGACCCACTAGCAATTTTGCTCAGTCTTGCTTCGGTTCTTAGAAATTTTAGGTTATTGGACTGTGTCAACAATTTGGTTCATAATTCTTATAAACCAAATTGTGGGGGGCATTTGTTGACACCTAAAATTAATGTGGCCTGAATTAAATGCCGCATTAATTAGTCTCGGCATTTAATTCGATACCGCGGGTAAAAAACGGTGTCGTTTGGAGTCGAGCGGTGTCGAGGAGAGTTAAAACGATACCGCGAAACAACGGTACCGCAAGGAGGCTCAACGGTACCGCGGTACTGGAAACGATAATAAAAAGGGCCGCGCGTGCGGGTTCTTGTTGGAGAAGGAGTTTTGTTCATAATTAATTAATATTTTTATTATTCCTTGTTGGAGGAGGAAAATCGGTACCGCACGGAGACAAGCGGTACCGCAGAGCTAAAACGGTGCCGCGGAATTAAAAACGGTACCGCGAGGAAGCCCAACGGTACCGCTATACTAGCAAACGACCGTGTTTAATAATAAACAGTGTCGCGGAAGAAAAAAAAACAAACGGAGTTGGTTGAGAAAGAAAACGACACCGCAAGGTTGGAAGCGGAGTCGTTTAATATTAAAACGATGTCGCGGGTAGAATCAAGCGGAGCTGCTTGGGAAAGGAAACGACATCGCGGGATCATGAAAGCAACTCACGTAAAGTTCACGCGAAGCAGTTTGAGGAGCGAAGCGGTTGAGATACGTGGGATTTCACAACGGAGCAGTTGAGGAAGCGGTTCCACCGAGCGTGAAGGCTACGAAGCAGTTTCTCGAATAAAAGCAGTGGAGCAAGGAGAGAGAAAGGACAACAACCAAAATCAACACAGAACAACTCTGTCAAACTTATCTTTTTCTCTGTAACTCCTTCGCGGAGCTCTCCTTCCAGGAAGGATCTCCATAGTCATAGTCGTAGCGTAGTCGCGGAGCTCTCCACAGGAATCTCCATAGGAGTAGTCGTAACGTAGATTCCTCAAAAACTCAAACACCCTCGTTCGAACGTAGTTTGGAGAGGTGTGAATCGTAGTCACAGTCGTCTTGATTAGAAGTCAGTGGCGCATTAATTCGATCAAATCAACATCGTCGTTTGGCACGCCGGCGGTGGTATTTGGTCAGAAAATAGTGGTGCATCCGTTCAATCGGCACCGCAAGAGTTTCCACCGCGAAACATCAAATCAACATCGCCGGGAACGAATTCGGCACCGGCGGTGGCATTTGGTTTTTCCGAGGAAACAAGTTGAATAAGAGCCGAGCCAAATCCGTGACCGCTTATTGGGTTCCCTAATCTCTGCCACCCATTTCCCCCACTTCCTCATCCTAATCCCTTTGTACTGCTTGTGGCTCTCTCCCTCGACCGACATCGCGCCGCCGCCTCGCTGCTTCTTCACCGCCGCCGTAGCCTTCTCTTCAACTCCGCTCTCCATGTAGAGTTGAAACAAAAATCAAGAGAAAAAGGAATTAAACTCAGTAAATTACAGAACAAAATCCCGAGACCCTTCGATCTAAATCGGAATTAGGAATTGATTCGGATGGGGAAAATTCAGGGCAGGGAATTTGAGAGGTTGGAGGCAGTGTTCGTTCATGTTTTTAGCATATGGGGGTTTATTGGGAGGGATGAGAGTCGGTGTGGCATCTGGGTGAGGCAACACGTCGATTGAGCTTTTCTTCCGTTGTTGCTTTTTTCTAAGGGAATTTTCCTTGTTTGGAGAAGGATAAATAGGAAGCTAGCAAATTAAGGGGAGAAAATAAAAAGGCCTAATACCAGAAAAAGGCCCATAATTTAGGGTTTAGGTCACTTGCACCCCTATGTTTATACCGCGTCACTTATGTCCCAAAGTTTAAAGCTTCATGTCAAAAAAGTCCTCTGACATTTTGTTGACCGTTAGACTTAACGGTCAACCAAACGTCTGTCAATATTTTGTTGACTTTATACCAACGTGTCTGCCATGTCACCAGTTTGACAAAAAAAAAAATATTTTTAATTTTTATTAAAAAAAATTCACCCCCACCATCACCGAGCACCGCTCTCTACATCGACCCTCCTGCCTTTTTCCCATCCCTCCCCAAAACCCACAGTCCCCTGAAATCGCACCCCCATCTCAGCATCTCCCTCCGCTGCGACGCACCCCATCTCAGCAACCCCCCGCTCTTCTCTGTTTGTGACAGTCGCCGCCGCCGGATAGAGCTCAACGTCCCAGAACGAGCAACCTTCGAGCGACTATCGTCGCACCGCGATCCTCCTCTTGCAAATACCCGTCGATGATGGGTCCAGAAGCCCGATATGGGTTCAATAGACGATCTGTTTTCGGTTAAGATCCGACAATCTAGCCATCAACGATTCCCACATAATCTTCGACAACCGCCGGTGGATGTGGGTTTTTCTCGAGCTCGCTTTTGCTTTCCGGCGCCGCGACCTCGGTTTTGCTCGATCAATCTGGTTATGCCTTCCTAGCGCTCGATCTGGATCTGGATTTGGTCCCTCTCAAGGATGGCAGCACTATTGTCGGCAACGGAGGAGTAGAGGAGGATGGGAGGGATTGAAAGACCGGACTTGGGCTTGGGGTGCTTGAATGGGCGGCTGAAGGGATTGACGAGGAGGATGGTCGGCGGTGAATATTCTGGCTGGCGGCGACTAGGGTTGGGGAGCTTTTCTCGAAGGCGGAAAGTAGAGAATTGGGGTCGATGAAATTGAAACCCCATGCCACTTTTAATTTCCTTTTTTACTTTACTTACATTTACCTTAGTAATTCTGTAATGATTTGGCAAATAATAATTATTTTTTATTGATATATCGTCGGTCAATGGTTGACCGTCAAAAATAACGGAATAAGTTAACGGACTCTAAACTTTGGGACATAAGTGACGCAGTATAAACATAGGGGTACAAGTGACCCAAACCCAAAACTATGGGCCCTTTTCTGGCATTAGGCCAAATAAAAATGGAGGAAAATCCAAATTCACCGACATAATCTTTGTGAGTTTTTGTTTATAAAGAAGAGGAGGGGTGCAGAGGTGTTGGAGAGGGACGGGGAGAGCAGAGCAGAGGGGAGAGAGAAACTTAGGGGAGTAAGAGTAGAGAAGGTAAGATGCCAGGTTTCTTTTGTTCTTTTCTTTTCTCGTATATGGACCTCTTTCTTTGTATTTTTTTGGTTATAGATATAATATGCCCCTCTACTATGACGCTTTATCAAACATGTCCCTTTACTATATTTTACATCAAACATGCCCTTGTACTTTGTAAAAATGATCAAACATGCCATTTTGTTAAAATTTTCATCCAAAAACCGTTAACCAAGGCCGAAATTTAGTTTGGGCGACACAAATGACTAAAATATCCCTAATAAATTCACTTTAAGATTTTTTTGGTTCTTTTGTATAATCAAATCATTCAAATAATTTCACTTTGAAAAGACCCAGGGAAATAAAACACGGGACAAAACTGACATTTTTCCTCCCATTTGCCAATGTCGGGTCATCTAAATCTCGGTTCAACCACGATTGACAATTTTGTCAATGCAAATTTTAAGAGAAGGGCATGTTTGATAATTTTTTCAAAGTACAGGGGCATATTTGATGTAAAAAATAGTAGAGGGGCATGTTTGATAAAACATCATAGTAGAGGGGCATATTATACCTATAACCCTATTTTTTTTATGACTAATTGTCGCCCTAACTTCATAATCGCCCTAAACTACAATTACACTTATATCCTTTTTTATTGTTATAATATTTTATTCTAACAAAAATAATCTACCACTGTCACCTCCACCCCAACCCGTCGCCACCACTACCCAGATTGCTACCACCCTCCAAGACCACCACGTCAACTACTTATCATTTCAACTAATCAATTAAATCAATGAAGAGTATGATCTTCAATTGTGTTTGACTGGCATATGGGTTTTAAAATTAAAGCTCCCCACTGAATCACAGAACTAATAACAAGGAGATTGGTTAGTTAAAGGGACATGGAGAGCGGCGTCGGCCAAAAACGAAGCCAAGAAAGAAGGGTCCGTCGCCATTAAGATGAACGGATGTTGAATGGCGGCAGGGCATATGAGGGATTGCCGGCCAAAGAGGAGTTCGACGATGGCAGGATAGGTTGTCTGCGTAGAGGGAGGAGGGACTCCGCCACTCTCGGTGGGAGGAGATGAAACACAATTAGGGATTGTAGGAGGGTGCGTCACCAATCAGATGAACTGAGGTTGAACGCCGGCAGGACGTAGGAGGGATTGAACGGCGGCAAGACATAGGAGGGATTGTACGGTTGTGTGTTTATTGGTTTTATTTTATATTAAGGTTAATTTAATAATTTTATATTTTAAATTAAGACGATAGTAGTAAAGTTAGGGCGACGTTTAGCCATTCAGTTTTTTTTAGGTTATAGGTATAATATGCTCATTTACTATTTTATTTTATCAAACATGCCTCTATATTATTTTTTACATCAAACATGCACCTATACTTTGGAAAAATGATCAAACATGCCATTCTGTTAAAATCTTCATCCAAAAACCGTCAACCACGGTTGAATCTTGGTTTGGTGACACAAATGTTTAAAATATCCTTGATAATTTCACTTTAGAAATTTTTGTGTTCTTTTGTAGAGCCAAATACCTCTAATACTTTCACTTTAACGAGACCTAGAAAATTAAATCGAGGGACAAAATTGACATTTTCCCTCCTATTTACCGATTTCGGGTCTTCTAAATCTCAGTGCAACCATGGTTGACGATTTTCTTAATGGACATTTCAATAGAAGGGCGTGTTTGATCATTTTTGCAAAGTACATGGCATGTTTGATGTAAAAATAGTAGAGGGGCATGTTTGATAAAACTGCATAGTAGAGGAGCATATTATACCTATAACCCTTTTCTTTTCTACATATGGGTGGCGGTGGACTGCTTTGACCTTTGGACACTAAACACTTCAATCAGCGGTCTCAAGTTTTGTAACGAGTGTATGGTGTAAGAATTACATGCATGGTGAGTGTAAAAAAAAGGGGTATAAGAAGTTTTAAAACAATTCAAAGTTAAGGCCGGATCTGCCAAAATCGGAGCACCAATTTTTTAGGAAGGGCGATTTTTCTCTCGAAACCCTAGTGCGCGTCGCCGATGTCCGACTCTGGGACTGCCCCCCGACGTCAAGGCCTACGGACCCGATTAATGGATCACGTCATCCACCGATCACGTTGTCCTAGCCCAAAGGTAAAGGGGACAAAGAGACTGTACAAGATAAGAAGCGGGCGCGACCGATGACTCTTAACCCTTTGTTCGAGAAGATGCCGGAGGAGAGGGAGCCGCAAATGGAGATAGCAAAGTAGGATATGGCTAACGGGGAGACGCAAGAGGAGGTTCGTGAATAGCCCCAACAGTAGGCATGGAGTACTAGAACGAGGAGGCTGTTTGATGACTTACGTATGCATGAAGAATATTATATTGAGGATTCAAATTCTGGAGATATGGCCCTGCAATGAAAGGGATGATATGGAGGGCGAGGTGTTTTGAAGACGATGATCCCATCTTCCCTACAATCCATTTCAGGACGATGGAGAAGCAAAGGTGGAGGAGACAATGGAGATCGACCCTTATTGTGAAGGTTTTAGGGCGCACCTACCCGTTTCCAGTTGTCTTGCGTCGGTTAGAGAGTCTTTGGGCTAAGTGTCGAACTTTGCAAATATCGAGTCTATCTTGGGTTTTTTGTGTAGTGTGGTTTACCTTGCAGTTTGATTACGAACAGGCTACGGCCGGGGGGGGGGGTGTGTGGATGGTGGGAGATCATTACTTGACAGTACGAAGGTGGGTGAAGAATTTCGACCACAAAATCGCGAAAGTGGCGACCACGATGGCGTGGGCTCGCCTCCTTGACTTACCCATTGAGTTCATTAACAAGGAGGCAGTTGAACAAATTGCTCAACGTATTGGGAAACCTGTGAAGGTGGACCGAGTCACTCAGGCTAGTGCGAGGGGGAGATACGCGAGGGTGTGTGTTGAAGTTGACTTGACGAAGCCATTGCTGTCGAAATACAAAATTGAAGGAAAAAAGTATTATATAGAGTTCGAAATATTGCATTTAATTTGCTCAAAATGTGGCCGGTATGGTCATGTAAAGAAAGGTTTCCCAAAGCTGCATGTGGCATCGCCACCACGGGGAAAAAATGTGGTGGCTCCGTGAGTGTAAGAAGAGTTCAGGAGGGACTGGAGATAATCCAGGACGGGTCTAGATTTAGAGGGCTGGAAGGTGTGGAGGAGGAACTGGAGGAGGAGGTGGATGAGGAGATTGTAATGGAGGAGCTTGGGGGAAGGGATATGAAAGTCGAGGTACTAATGGAGAAACCGCCTGAAGAACAACCTGTTAGGGA